CAGGAGAGGAGTCGTCAGAGATGTCGTCAGACACTGCAGCATCGACCCCCGAGGATCCCTCTCCAGAGAAGGAACTGTCGTCAGGTGAAGCAGCAGACGTGGATCTCCTGCCTCCCGCCTGGCAGGAGTTCATGAAGTTTGGTTGAATCACAAAGGAGTTTCTGGAAGACCGGAGGTTCAGCAGCCACTACAAGGAAGGGGTCTTCAGCTGTGACGATCTGATCCACCTGCTGGAGGAGCTGCTGGTGTTTGCCAGGCTGTGGAACGAGGAGGGTCCAGAGACCTGGTTCATGCCGAGCGTCCTCCGACACATCTCTGCCAGCGACATGGACAAGAGGTGCTCGTCAGCCGGAGCCCTAGTGGTGGACTTCCCCGACGGTGGTCCCCAGAGTGGCGTCTTCTGCTCCCTCATGTCCCACGTCCTCTCTCCTGAAAACCACAGCCCCTACTCCTGGAAGCTGCATCTCTCGTCACAGGAGCCTTCGTGTCTGTATCGCGACTGCATCCAGTTCGAGGTCCCCAAGTATCCCGGGTCGGTGACCTTCGTTGACCGCTACGAGTACTTCGAGGTTCACGTGTTCACCTCAAAGACCTGGGAGAAGGAGCTGTGGGGGCACGTGAGAAAGGCTGTCTTTGGTGGGATCGAGACCGTGGACGAGACCCTGGGCTACTCCAACAACAAGCCACGGCCGGCAATCGTGTGTCCGAGAACCCACACAGACCACACCCAGCCTACATCCAGGACAAGGAGTGGATCTGCACTAGCAACACCAATCAATTTGGAGACCTGACCGCCCAATTTCTATGGAACCAAACTACATGTGAGTAATGCAAGTGCGTAGGCTACAGTAAGTGGTCAGTATGAGAATAGTAACAGTCGTCTGCCTCCCTGACTTTGCTGTCTTTGAGTTTCTTTCTTTCTGTGCTCAACTTGCAGTGTGTGGAGGGGCTCGTTTCAGCACTAAAAATGGAGATTTACTGCATGTGTTTGTTGTGCAGGTGGTGAGTCTGCAAGTGTGGCATTTGCACAGAACTCAGCCTGTTTTCTCAGCCAAGTTTCCCATCTATTTCTCTCACGAAAAAATGTGTTTCACTCGTTGCAACTGGACAGAGTATGCATTGATGTACTGCATTGCACTGCCTCGTGCTGAGTGTCTTGCTTAGAGTTGTCTTTCTGTACTCAACTTGCAGTCTGTGAAGGGGGTCGTTTTAGCACTGAAAAACATGTTTTCTGCATGTGTTATGTCGTGCCAGCGATGGGTCTCAGTGCGGGTCTTTGCAAAGAACCCTCTCGAATTCCGCCTGTTTTCTCAGCCAAATTTCCCATCTTTTTGCTTGTTTCACTTGTTGCAACTGGACAGAGTATGCATTGATGTACTGCATTGCACTGCCTCGTGCTGAGTGTCTTGCTTAGAGTTGTCTTTCTGTACTCAACTTGCAGTCCGTGAAGGGGGTCGTTTTAGCACTGAAAAACATGTTTTCTGCATGTGTTATGTCGTGCCAGCGATGGGTCTCAGTGCGGGTCTTTGCAAAGAACCCTCTCAAATTCAGCCTATTTGCTCAGCCACGTTTCCCATCTTTTCGCTTGTTTCACTCATTGCAACTGGACACAGTATGCATTGATGTACTGCTTTGCACTGCCTCGCGCTGAGTCTATCGTAGAGTTCTCAGCATCTGAGCACCCTAAGGGAAGATGATGTTTTCAAAGTTCCAGATCTCTTTCACCTGGTCTTATCCTGGAACTGGCAAGTGTGAAGTGCATATATATAATTATAGTGATCATGAGCAAGGTAACCTAGTTGAGCTTAAGGTGTGATTTCCTACTTCTATACGTCATCCAACTTCACATGCATTTGTATTACATGCTTTTTTTTTATTATGTACCCTGCCGCCTCCTTGTTTTAGTCAGCGAGAAAACATTGTCCATTCGGCGCCATTCAATGCGCTCGTCAACAATCTTTTTGTGTTCACACAGGTGAGTCCTCTCAAGAATCCTCAACTGCTTCTTCAATACCAACTCCTTCTGCAAGTGGTGATGAGACTTCTACTCCAGAACAAAGAACACCAGGTAAAACTAATTGAGGCATTTTACTGTTTACCGTTTGAGTGCTGTGTGGCATCTGGTATTTTACAGCAGTGTGCCTTTATTGTTGCAGGTGTGTCAGAGGAATCCTCATCTGCTGCCTCATCAGTTCCTCCTGTGAACCAGGCTCCTTCTTCTAGTCCTCTGACTCCAGTAGAGAGCCAACTCGGTACTAAAATTATGACATTATCATTCAACTGTATGTCACATTCTAGCAATATGAAAGCATGGTGAATGGTGTAAGACGTGTCAATTAGTGGAGCTATATACGTGTTTGACTGTCTTTGAGTCCCACAGCATGTGCGGTTTTTTTGTGGCAGTGTCGTGAAGATTTCTGTTAGGTGGGTTCAGCCAACCTAAATGTGATCCATAATATCAAGCAGCTTAGCTACCTTTATATCGGTGAACAGCTGCTAGCCACCTCAGCCATCTATTTCTCTTTCGTATGTGCAGGCATGAACGATCTCTTCACCGTCTACTCTGAACTGGTGGGAGTGGCTCACATGTGGAAGAAGGTGGGACTGGCTCTCAGACTGCATCCAAACTTACTCCGCAGAATCGAGGCAAAGAAAAATGACGTCGAAGACAACTTATCAGATGTGTTGGAAGAATGGTTGAAGAAGTCGTATGACACAGAGAGTTTTGGGGATCCGTCATGGAAACTGCTGGTGGATGCAGTGGCTCATCGAGCTGGAGGCAAAGACCGTGCCCTTGCCATGGAGATTGCTGCCAAGTACAATGGTAAGTTTAACTGGTGATACACCTTATCCTTTGCTCACAAGTATAAATCCATTTATAGCTTTTTCTCTCTTCAACAGCTCCAGCTCCACAATAGCCTCAAGTAGTGAATGAACCTCGTTTCCATTCTGGTATGTATATATGTACCTTCACCCATTAATTATTATATGTACCCATTCTGGCATTATTGGCAAGCAAAGCGAGCCTACATACTCATCTGAATTGATGTGAAATTCTCATCAAAACACTTTTAAACTATATACTGGACAGTGCGCATGCAACATATTACGCCAATACACTACACATTCACCACTATACTATTGGTAAACAAAAGGGTATAAGCAGACAGAAGATTGACAGTCACGCTGACAACACACACAAGATAGAAAAACCTAATCATTGCTGTGCATGTTTGCTTAGGGATGGTAATGTTATAGGCTAACATGAACGGTGTGCAGTGTGAAGAACACAACATGATCATCATCAATAGTACAAACACAGTCAACAATCATGTATGATACTGATGGCATGTAATAATGATGACGTTAGTGGCTAATAGACTGTGAGGATGAGTTAGTCCTCTCAGTAGTGTCTGATGTCTTGTGATGTTGGTCCGTCCTCTTTGGAACTACCTGCATCATGGGATATCACACGCCTGAATATAGCCTCACTCCTATTCTACATTCACATCCAGTAGCACTAAAGCACCCCAGTAATGCTGCCGGATTGTGGCACAGAGAAAGTATGCTGCAGACCAGGTGAAGACGCACATCATCCCCCAACCCTTTAACGAATCGCTCGTTTTTCTCCACACTCACATCAGCATTGAGGAGTAATCAGGCTAGATTCTACCAGGCAGTTCACCAAAGTTTAAATCCTAATGCTGTAGTCTGGCACAGCCGTACACTTAGTCGTGGGGACAAAGAGTCTAGTCTACTGACATCGACCATTACACTTAGCACGCCTCTACATTATAATCATTGTGGCAATCACGCAACAGCATTGACCAAGCCATCTAAGCCATACTTTCACATAGAAATCAAAACGCTATACGTCCGTGGACCAGACTCTTTTCCCCAGCTTGACTTAACCCCTCCTGGCTGAGTTGCTCTGGTCGCTCAGCTGGTCCAGTGCTCAAGATTGACAGTCACGCTGACAGATACACACACAATATAGAAAAACCTCATCATTGCTGTGCATGCTTCCTTGTAATTCTATAGGCTAACATGAACGATATGCAGCTATGGGTTTTGTGCAGAACACAACAATGATCATCATCAGTAGTAGAAACACGTTCAACAATCATGTATGATACTGTGGCATGTAATAACGATGACGTTAGTGGCTATCAAACTGTGAGGATGAGCGAGTCCTCTCAGTAGTGTCTGATGTCTTGTGATGTTGGTCCGTCCTCTTTGGAACTACCTGCATCATTTGGATGCTCGCCGAGAAATGCAACATCCGAAACTTTCGCATCGAGCAGAGGATTAAACTGCTCAGTGATGGCCTGAATGACAGGTCCTATGGGATATCACATTCCTGAATATAGCCTCACTCCTATTCTACATTCACATCCAATAGCAGTAAAGCACCCCAGTAATGCTGCCGGATTGTGGCATAGAGAAACTATGCTGCAGGGCAGGTGAAGAAGCACACGAACCCCCAACCCTTTAACGAATCGTTTGTTTTTCTCCGTCCCTTTGCAGCCCCAGGTGAGATGGACTGGTGGAGAGCTTCACTTATAATAATTATACTTGACAAAAAGCAGTGTATACCCATGGCATGATTAACCCTCGGCGCGCATGCGCAGCGAGGGTTACGGTAGTTGTTTCGTAAGTGTGTCAGTCTGTCCGTCTGTCAGTTTGTCATTAACCCTCGGCGCGCATGCGCAGCGAGGGTGATAGTACTTGGGTCTGTGTGTCTGTGTGTCTGTTACTCTCAATCTCACTTCTTGGGTGTTTGATCGTCTCACAAAGGATACCACCTACTGAACGGGCAATGAAGGTCACAAATTTCGAACGGTTTTCTCTGAAAACGCTCCGTTGCAAAGCTAGAGCGCGAAAAAGCCAATATGCAAATACACAACGGCTTACTACGGCATGATCGACCAGCGTGCTCTGCGTACCTTGGAGTCACCAGAAGATGCAACGCAGGGCGTGTATCGCCTCTCGCATGCTATCTAGTAGTGTAGTTAGACCGCGCCAGGCTCTGCGTCAGCTGGCAAGAGACCACGAGTAACAGCTAAAGCTAAACCCAGCCCATCAATTAGTGGTACGGCGCATGCGTTTACTTACGATTGTGCGTCACAGTTCGCCGAGGGTTTGCACTTCAGTCCTTTTCATTCTGTCTGTTACCACGTTTTCTGCCACTGCGCGCACGAAATCAGGTAAATAGCGATATGATCGGGTTTAGTGCTACACTGGGTTGATTTTTAAAAAGACGATTTCCGTAAAACTACTGCGTTCTAAAGTTTTGGCGTGAAAACCAAGTGAACAAGCCAATATGTAAATTAGCACAGGCTTACCCCGACCGCGTCCGTTCGCTCTGTGTGTCTTGAAGGCACAACAAGTCACAACGAAGGGCATGTATCGACTCCCGCACACTATTTACTACTGTAGCTAGCCCGTGTCAGACTCTCCGCGAGCTACTAGCGGGATACCACGAGTAATGGCATTAAAAGCCCAGCCCATCAATTAGTGGTACCGCACATGCGCAGTTCGCCGAGGGTTTGCACTTCAGTGCTTTTCATTACCTTGGCTTAGCTTTACATATGAGGTATATCTATTACACAATCCTCGGTATTACAATAGCTTTTGTCGCCGGACTCCTACTCATGTGGGGAAAAGAGTCTGGTCCACTGACATAATAGCTATAGCGTTTTGATTTCTACTACACACTATGCGAGAGTATGGCTTAGCTGACTTTTCAATCTCCTTGCATGATTGCCAGAATGATAATGTAGAGCAATGCTAAGTGAAAAGGTCCATCTTTGTCCCCACGACTAACTGTCTGGCTATGCGAGACTACAGCATTAGTGTATTAACTAGCTACTGTATGTATAGCTACAGCTGTGTTTCTACACTTCCATGTGCAATAGCTCTGTAACAATCACAGAAAATGTGAAGTCAATTCCAAGACTTATACCATTTTCTCAGTGATGATTGATAATACATCAGTGTATTTCAGTGGACCTGTTGTCTCATAGTTCGTAGCAGGGAATTTGTTCATACAGAAACCTCTTCTGGTGGTGAGAGTGTCACAGTAGTCTCCAAGCCTTCATTTGGTGACACACCATTGGCCCGGTTGCCTTCTGTTCTTGTTCTCTTCTTTCCACATGGTGAAGATCTGTTTCAGTACATAGTGGTGAAAGCATGCAACTTGAGAAAGATTCTACCAAGGTGTAATTTTTATGTATAGCTATACACACAGCCTAAATGGAAAAACATCCACACTGACCTGTTACACAAAAGACATACGATGCAGACTTCACAGGCCGCAATAAGTACTCCAGCAAAAGCTATTGTAACACCAATAACAATGGTATCTCTTAAAACTTTTAAAACTTCTGTCATTGTCATTCAGCTCCTTTCAACCTTGCAGCAGTTTGGTGCTATAATATAGCTACAGGTCACTCTTCTACATCTACAGGAAATCCTTTTGCAACTTCTAACTTCCACTATTATTATGAAGTGTCTTCAGTGATTTGTCATACCGTGGGCTGGAGTTAGTTAGGGCCGCTGAAAACGCCCAAGCTTACTGCGCATGCGCGCGCGTTGCTCCTCGCGAGCGTTCAAACGTCTGCGCACACCTCACTGCTGCACTAGTAATTCACTGCCTTCCAGGATGAGAGCCACGTAGTTACAAACCAATGCCCAATGCGAAAAGCATTTGTAAGAAGCAGAGTAGTAAGCACATATGGAGCACGGCCGGAGTTTCGGCCGTGACACTGTTTCAGACAGTGGAATTTTGTCCTGTTAATTAGGTACATGGCCTTGCTGTGGTGCGTGAGAATAATCCCTTCCCTATGCATGCAATGCAATTTACTCCACGTGTGTAAATGGAAGTGAGTTAACTCACTGTAAATTCACTGTATTAAAACACTGAAAATTAAGACTACACACTCACAGCTACATACTGTCAACACGCTATAAAGGTATAGCTATCTGCTCTAGTGATAGTGCAAACTACTCGTCTTTTGTCTCCTCTGTTGATGACTCATTAGGATTTGGTGTTTCGTGCACACCATATGCTTGATTATCCTCTGTGTTCACTTTGGTGTTAACTCGTTGCTTTGATAGTGATGACCTAGGTAACTTTTGGAGTTGTAAAGGAACTACACAAAAATGGTCACTTACCTGTTATAGAAAAGGCATCCAATGACAGCTCCACTAAATCCCAATACTATTCCAATACATGCCATGGTAGCACCGATAATAACAGAATTCCTTGACTCTTTACTTGTTGAACCTAGGCAAACCAGATGTTTGCATGGTTGCTGATATACAGATAAACTTTACCTGGCAGTGTCCTCACAGTGACAGGATGACTGTAGACACCCACATCTCCCTGTTCATTGACTGCAGCTACTGCAATGGAGTAGTTGGTGGAGGGAGTGAGCCCACTCAGTTCTGTCTCTGCTCCTGAGCTCCAGTTTCCAGTCACTTCTTTACTCCCAGCTACCAGTCCACTGGACTTGGCCCTGTACTGTACTCTGTACCTTACAATGACACCATTGACAAGTCTACATGGAGAGAGGCCACTCCACTGGACGGAGATGACTGTGGAGCTAAGAGAACCGACCGTGACTCTGCCAGTAACTGCTGCACTTCCTGCAAATGAGAGAGAAGAGTGGCCAATCTTACCTAAACTACTTGCTTACCTCTCTGAAGCGTAGTCAATCTGGTAGCTTCACTCCCCACAGTTTTGCCCCACTTGTCACTGAATGCTACCACAGTGACTGAGTATGTGGTGTATGCTCTCAGCGAGGAGGTGTCATTTGATCCTACATCTTCCCCCACAGTAATACTGGCAGTGGGGACATCAACTACTGTCACATTAGCAGAATGAGAATCATCTCTACACAGTCCCTCCTGATCATCTCCCACTGCTGCACTGAATGAGACTGTGTAGTAGTCAGCATCCTCCACTGCCTCCC